AAAATGACTGACTGTTCAAATTTAAATTGTTTTCGCTTTTGAGGGTTAAGTTAGGATTTGTGCAAAATTTACTTGAAACTTCAAGTGAGTAGGAAGAAATCTCATACTTTAGTAATGCAAATAAAAGACAAAATTCGCATTTTGAGGTCAGACATCTGTACATGTGGCCACGTGAAGTGCTAGGGAAAAGTGGCAAAACTTTCCATTTGGCTTAGCTTGGAAAGGAACTTCCTAATCTCCTATCGTGAGTGAAGCAGTTGTAGGACAGCTTTATACCTCCTACTCGGAGCCTGAAGGGATGGTTCACCTGTCACCTCCAGTTGCCCTTGTTTCCTGTGTGTAGTGTTGGCAGGCTTGCACTATCCCAGTTAAAGTAATCGGTAGCTACTGTGATTTCTTTGTAGGTATGGAACAGTGCAGAAACATAATGGTTCCGATAATCTAATGTCTTCTTTAAAAAGACACGTCTCAAAATTATCTGCATTCTATTCTGAGAATGTTTTAATAACATGCTGTTCTTTAAGAACTCCTGATCAGATCTGAATATTTGTTGTCCAAATGTGTGACATGATTTTTTTAAATATGTGGTAAAAAGCCCCAGAGGAGAAAAAAAAAATTTAATATTTTTTTAAAGTACTGGATAATTTACTTCCAGTAGAAAATTTTCTGTAATGTCATACAGGATCAGCATTTTTAGGTTTGACGCAAAAAACCCACAGGTTTTGTGTTGCTTTGGACTAGTGGCGCTCCACCTGATGGTTAGAACAAAACACCCTCAGAAGGCTGTCTATACATGATTTAGTCCATGGGGGTTGGAGATTGCTTTAAAGAACTGTTGTGCCATGGCTAGAGCAGAAGGACCCGACACTTTCCATTAGCAAGCACTATGAGAGTAATAAAATGAACTTAATTTATGTGTTCTTAGTACTATTGTGATTTTTGTTAGTGTTGTTCCCCTATAGGGGAAGCTTGGGTGTCTTTTTTTTTTGGTTACATCATGCCTCAGGGTCTTAAGGATGGCTCAGGTTTTTTACTTGGCCTGCCCATAATTTCATTCTGTGTGTTTAAGTAACTTAATCTGTCTCTGTCTTCTACTTTGGTTCCTAATGTGCAAAATTGGGACAGTAGAAAGTCATGCTGTCATCAAATTCTTGTGAGGTAGACTCCATTACTGTGGTGAGATTTTATGATATGTTGGTAAGTGCTGTAGAAACGCCTGCATTTTGTGTATCTCTGCATATATAGTATTTCCATCCATCATCATACTCTTTAGTTATAGTGTTTTTCTACTCCTACTGTAGAGGTATCATGAGATTGTCTGGAAATAGACAAAATCACTCTATGGCACACTTGTAGTGGATCTCCTGCTCCATCCAGGTGGAGGGAGACCTGCCAAGAGTGGAAATGCAGACAGACGTTGCTCTGTGAGCACTCTCTCTCTCCCATGTCTTCAGACGTGCCAGACCACAGTCTTTCTTGAGGCTCACCTTTAAACACCAACACATCTTAACATATTTATATATTTCAATAGAGATTCCAATGTTTTCTGGAAAATACTCTCTGTTTTCACATTGTAGTTATCAAGGTGATAAAGAGTTTTAAAACTTCCAGTAAATGTCGCAAAATATTTAGTTTTGGAAAAAATAAACCCTTCTTTCTCTCTGTTTCCTTGTACGGTGAGATTTTTTAGCCCCTCTGCCTAGGACTTGTAGTATATATATAGCCTTTTAAATACAAGAACCATTTGGGGGCCTTTTGATATTCTTTTGCCTATAGACGTGTAAATAATTGACTGTCGTGTGTAAGTAATTGCACATGCAAATAGATACCTGTCCGATGTTATGTATTTATAATCAAATTCGCAATACGAAATGAGAATAATTTTATTTTAAATATGAAAGAATTATTTTAAGTGTGTTCACAGGAAACTTAATCCATATCCATATGTATGTGTTTGCAGGAAATAAATTATGCTTTTCACAACCTAGTGGTGGTTGTTAACTCATAGGAATTGCTGCATTCCTGCATTACAGCTGTATGTTTTCTAATACAAGCAGAACTATCTTATACTTGCAACTTCAAAATGTAGGTCATTGTGTTGGTGAATGTAGGTCAGAGTGAAGGGGAAGAAGACAGAATGCAAACTCCTCCACCTTTAAGCTTATCCCTGTTTTCAAGGTAAAGAGGCTTACCTGCCTGTTCAAGCACGAGAAGCTTTTCCTTTTACTAAAATTAACAGAGGTATTCTGCCTTCTTGGCTTAGCTGGAAGCACCGTGTGCTTCCACACTTGAGACCTGTGTTCGTGAAGGACCTCCTGACTCCTGCTTCTTTAGCTGCCAGCCGCTTACATCACTGCTGAGGTGATACATCCTTCCCTATGGGGGAAGGGAGCCGGGGGCAGAGTCTCTGCATCGCTGGCATCTGCCTAAAGAAGAGCATTGTCTTTCCAAAGGTGCTTTACCCTTCTCTCAGCACAGAGCGACCTGATGCACCTGCAGTTTCAGCCGGTACCAACATTGTAATGGTAGTAGGGGAAAGAACGGTCACCCAATCATAAAAGATTTAGTGACACCGTTCAAAGTGCCCTTTCAATAGCGACTGTGGAAAAGTGAGAGACATTTGACTGAGGGTACTGAAAACTCAGATGTTGAAGGATTTTGCTGCAATTGACAAGTATTTTTAAAACTCGCTCAGGCTAAAAGTTTGCTACAAAAGGGTTTAGGTTTTTTGTGTTTGTGGGTGTGGGGTTTTTCTTGTAATGTGAGATATTAGTATTATAAATGGTATTAAATTAGCCGTGTCTTCACTAAATATTAAAAAAGCACTTTTATTGCTTGAGTATACACCAGTCATTGCAAACTGAAACATTCTTTATATTATACACTAAAATATTTAAACAGTTATTATATTTATTGCAAAATCTGTCATTTTAGCATATTTCAATGCTCAAAGGCATTGAAATGCTCAAAAAGGAGATGGAAAATCCTGTACAATTCTTAGTGTATGTTTCACTGAAGAATGGGTAGTCGTGTGTGAATATTTGATTTTAACCCTTAGCGAGTCTAAGCAAAATAGCGCATTTGCAAACACCTAATCAGCCTAAACTGTCATCAACAGTAGAAATACCAAAATTGCTTTAATGTTTTTGTCACACATATGAATTGGCACTCTGGTTTTTTTACCTTTAAGATCTTTGTCATACTAAAGCTATACACAAAGTTTTGGCCAAATCCTCTCTAGGCTTTTGCTTGATCTGCAGGCAGACAACACATTCATAGATTTTTGTATTTGTCACTAAGAATAAGGGTAGTTCAGAATACTTACTGGATGGAAAAGAAGAATTATGTCTTTCATGGTTACAATCAGGCTCTAAGTGATTTAAAAGGGAAACAATTTTTCTCACAAAATTCTGCTTCTATCAAATATGTTGTGATGCTTTTAAAGTCTTGAGAGTAAAGATTATGAAAAATAGTCTAAAGGATGCATATAGCTAGTATGCTGCATGGAATTCAGTTTACCTGTCTAGAAATATCTCCCACGTGTCTGTATTTAATTTTATGGAAACTGGTGAAGTGTCTGTAATAATACTAAGTTTCATAACTCTATTAATATTAATAGTCTGTAATAATATTAAGTTTCTGTCATTCATAATGCTGTGTGTTGGGGGGGGAGGCTAACCCTGGTTTTTACCTGCAGACAGACATGTGAGCATGTTTTTTCATTGCTAAGCAACAACAGATAGAAAGCACGTACAACTGCACTTCGGCCGCATACGGCTTTGATTCATCCCCTCTTAAGTTTGGGAATCTCACTGAAGTGCCTGAACACAAGTCTGTTTTTTCCAAGGCTCCCTCCAGCAGTGGAGCCTGGAGCCTGCAGGAGAGCGTGCAAGCCAAGCAGGATCTTTGCTGCCCTCTCCATGGACCATGGCACTTCAGTTAGATGTTCAAATGAGGTGGGAAACCGGTCTGGCAAAACAGTGAGTTTCATGAGTGAATGGTGTTGAAGAGAGAGATTTGCATGGGTGCCTACAAGTACTTGCCAAGGATGTTTTTTTATGTAAGTTTTATGTGGAAGTTTTATGCTGGAAGCTTGTAAAATCATGTATTATACAGATTAGGTGAAAAAAGCATGATTGCTCCTGTCTATTCGCATGCGAGAACTAGAGGGTCTCAAATGAAAATGACAGGAAGGCAAGTACAAAACAAGGGGAGATGTTTCTTTATACAGCATGGTAAAACTGTGGTACTCCCTGCCACAGGATTTTGACGCTCTGGAAAGTTTACTGCAGTCCACAGAACAACTTGAAAAATCCTTTGGTGACTGTTAAACAGAACTTATCACTTGTATCTCCTCTCCTTCTCAGGAACTTCCTGAGCCACATCTAGAAATTATGCTTTGTTACTGCCCTAGTCCTGTTTTTGGTCTTAGCACGTGTTGCCAGTCAGTGTCCCTTACAGTCTGACTGATGCCTGACCTAACAAAAGCTAAGAGAAAAGGGGCTAAATAAAAAGAAACTGGGAAAAAATTAAATTACTGTAGAGGGCAGCTAATGAAAAAGGAGAGGGCTCTTGTCCACTGTTAGAAACGGGCTACAGGGGAAGATGGGCCTTGAATCTGGCCTGGTACAAACAGTTTGGTGTTCATGTGAATGCCCAAATGGCAGAAGTTTCACAGAATTAAATTTTCTCTAACTTTTGAAGTGGCAATTTGATGTATATGTATAGATATATGTGTATATTTATGTGAGTGTGTGCATGTATCTATTGAGTAAATTTCTGAACATTAATTGGAGTGAAATCTACGAAACATTCAGTTCCAATGCTTACATCAGAAGTCTTCCATTAAAAGTCTTATTTGTTTCTTTTTTCCATGGTATTATGGCAAATGTAGAAAGTGAAACAGTTGGTACAGGTCTGAAAATGGTAATACATATTCAAATATTATTTTAGACCAAGAAAAAATCTGTTCTAAGGTGGCAAATATCTTTATTTTATAGGTCTCTGGCCATCTGAAGAAGTGCTGGCTTACTACTGCCTGAAGCACAAAGAAATATTCAGGTACAGAGTTAAACATAAAAAGATATTTTCCAATCTGTTAGTTTTATTGTATCTGCATGGTAAAGATTGCTATGATTTAAGTCTTCACATTAAATTTAAAATGTTCAAGGTGAAAGCATGTTGCTCTTAACAAAGAATTCTGAGCTGCCTTTGGGTACTAATATTGCACAGCAAGCTTTCTGCTATATGTCAAAGACTTTTGATTTCCACTCAAGGCGTTTTATTTCACTTTGATTTTTGGGAAACAAAAGTGAAGCTCCAATCGATCAGTACTGATTGTGAAGGTCAGGAAAAATAAAAGACATTCTTTAAACTGGCATCTGTTGCAAAAGCAAGCAAAATATTACCTGATAAAATACATAATAATCACCTCATATAGCAATGAAGGAATTTGCACCTGTATTGAATTGTTTTCAAACTATTTTGAGACATCCTGCACTTTTGTTTTTGGTTTTGCTTGGGGTTTTTTTTCCTCATTTTTTAAACTTGTAGAAGACAGTTATCAAGGCTCCAATAGGAACACCTGAAAATAAAATCCATCCTGCATCCTCTCTCCTTTCCCTTGAGTATACAGAGCTTTGCACTTGAAAATCCTTGAAGTTTCATTGTCCAGAGGATGAATGGGGTGCAAGAAAAGCCATTATAACAATGCATTTGGAGACAGAACTTGTGTTCTGAGAGAGGGTGCAAGGCTAATACTAAGTAAACCAGCTTGGAGTACACAAAATGCCTCAGTCTGTGTACATATGGTGTTGATAAAATAGGGAAGACCAAGCTGTAAGTCCCTGCCCCTTGTACCGAAGCCGAGAGCGCATCAGTTGTGAGCTGGTTCCTGCAGCTTGCTCAGACTCCTACCTGAAATCAAAGACCTGGCACCAAAGCGTGCCCTGGTTTGTAAAGCCTCATTTCTACACTGTCCACCACCTGAAGGAAACCCACCCCATTAGAGGAGGCAAGGAACACACCTCATCTGGTAGCCGCTGCTCTTTCCTCCCAGTTCAGCTGGGCACTGCGGTGTGTGACTTTTGCTGCTGCTGTGGTGTCCCTGTAGCCCCTTGCCGTCCAGCCCCACACCTGGCTCGTACGCTCTGCTTGTTCTCTGAGGCTCTTCACAGCAAACCTCCCTGTGCTGCTCATTAAAGTGTATTTTCCTGGCTTCCCAGTTTGGGTGTGCAAGCCTGGATACTCGGAGGCAGCAATCACTCAAACTTCCATGGAAGAAGTGGGCAGTTTCGCATCCTGATTTCTCAGGATTATGACCTCTCAACAGTATGCTCAGAGTAGTGTTTCTTATTTTAATTCTCATTGATAAATGGCACTGAATATTGCCTGAGATGGATATGATTTTTAAAATTTGCCGATAAGGGAACTTTGCACTGAAATAAATTATTTATATGTATAAATATTGTGTATTATGTACATAGAAATTTGGTTCTAAATGCACTAAAACCCCCACGCTAGGTACTTTCTGTGTTTATTTCAATAGGCATGACTCTTATAAAGGATTAAGTGCCTTGTAAATCTTATGTATACAATCATATGTATATACTTGTAATATATATGACATGCATGTTTTAGAAAAATAGAAACTTATGTGAGGAAAAACCTATAATTGTTCTATTTAAACCACCAACTGCAAATTTCCCACATCTGTTTTATATTTTCATTAGGTTTATGTACAGCTTGTTCCTCCAAACTATGTCCCTCTTTTGTCTCATTTTCATTAAATCGGACAGCTAGACTTTTTTTTCAAATAGAATTTGTGGAAAAATAAATCTATTCCATCCAGACAGCATGCGTTAGTATACAGTCATACAGTCTAGTCCGCTGGCCTCAGTGAACAAAATATCAGTACCTGGATACTGATACAGCATCCTGGATGCTCTTCCTAAATATCAGTGTTAAGTGAGTAGGGAGGTGATACTTCCACATAAAAATAGGTGTTCAAATGTTGGCGTTTTAGGGGAGAAGAAAAGGTGCACCAAAAAATAAAATAAAATAAAAATCTGTTTAGCTGAAATTCCATTTTCTGCCTGTCAAAAATGCCTCAATGGGCGCGTTGCTGCCAGCTGTAACAGTTGCTGCAGATTTAGCTGTGAAGCAGCGTGTTCCCAAACCGAGTCCCTGCCTGGCCCCAGACGCCGCTTCACGCGGTTTGGGCGCGGGGTCAGCATCCCTCCCGCCTCCCCTCCTGGGGCAGGCCCTGGCTCTGCAGGACATTCTTCCTGGCTCCCCCTGCAAGCTCCCATCCAGCACGCTCTCTGCCCCAAATTATATTTCACATGCGCGTCTTAATAACGGCGCGGTATGGGCTAAGTTAAAAGCAGCCTTTTAGACCACGCATTCAGCCCTCTGCTCGGGCTGGGTTTAGGCTCTTGACACTAGCTCCGCTCCGTTTTCTGTGGCTTAACTGTTTGCTGTTCCCATCGTTGTTCATAACAGCATTGTTTGTAGGTCACTTGCAGTTTTAAGTGCTAATTGAAGGATCGGATTTCTTCATGTGTAATTGTTTTGTGGTACATGGCTTGTTTTAAAACTTCTCTCTTTTTAATATAAAAAGGCTTTTAGGCATACCTATATGGAGAGATATATAAATAATATTAATTTCCCCATTTACTTCTCTAACTGTTTTTGCAAGAATGAATGTGGATTAACATTGTTATCCTTTCCTAACAATTATCTTTCGCTACTCTAGCTAGTTTAGTTCTAAAAGACAGAGCCATTGACAAGGGAAAAAAGGGAACCTTCTCAGATTTTTCAGCTCAGCGGTGGTAATGTTGCACTGAACACTAATGAGGGAACCCCCACTGATTTGCCTGCTTTGTGACTTTTCTATTTCATAATTATTTTTAAAACGCAAAACGACATGAGGTAGCCTAGTCATGTCTCTACAACTTCCTGGTAGCTCAGTTCTTACTGCAGATGGCAATTTGTTCTTGTAACATATATGTCTCTCTGACCATTTTCATCTAATTTGTATGGGTTCTACCATTTCCTTTCTCTCTTTCAGGGACCTTGCTGTGTGTGAGCTAGGGGGTGGCATGACATGCTTGGCTGGGCTCATGGTAGGTCTTTTCTCAATTCCAATCCCATTCACAGGAAGAAACAAAGGGAAAAATGTTCCAGTGCCTCCAACTGCTGGGTCAGAGAACTGTCAACAGCCTCAGCTGCGGTCAAGCTGCAGAGTCTTGAGAGACCTTCTAGATTGACTTGCTTTCGTATCATATTGATTTTATGGTTGCCTCGATGAGCAGAAACATTTTACCTCCGTGTAGTCAATATCTCTTGTTGTGACATTCCAGGCCACGTACGGTCTGTCTTTCATTGCCATAGCCGAAGCATTTTTTTTTTTTTTTCAGATTATAGTCCCATTTGCTAAGATACAGGAATAGCCTGGCGAATCACAGTTGGAGCACCATGATATAGCTGCTAATGTTTTGCCTGCATTATTACACCAACAAACATGATCCAGAGCTCTCGGTAATTAGATTCTTTTGAATTAGATTGGCCATTCAGGAGAGTCGTTCACCATTCTCTGGGTTCTGAGTCATGTATTCAGGAGATATTATGTAGCAGTGCAGTGCATTAGACAAGTTTTTATGTCTCTACAAATAAAAGCATATTGTTACACTGATTGGCATTTGACAAACCTGTCGCTCTTATACAATGTGTCGAGGTTACAGCCCAATGTGCGAGCATGTCAAAGCTCACAAAAAAATTACCCTTACAAAGCCATCTGCCTGCAATGCAAAGTTATATGAAGGGCATCAGGCAGTCAGACAGAAGCAAGCTGAAAGGCAGAGTGACAGCCTTGTATGATGGCTCTACTAGATAAACAGAAGCCCGCAAATGAAAGCCTCTCAGAATACCATCATCCGCTGTCACAATGCAATTACGGAACAGAATGATAGCAAGATAGAGGCTCCCGCAAATGGAATGATAAAAGTATTGACTGATTTGATTGAATGATTAAAATAATGCAGACATAAAATGAAAAAAGATTGAAGATTGTTACAGAGAAATAGGTGAGGAAGCATGATACTGAAGGCTTGTCACTCCTGTCTTCACTTCCACACAGACAAGCATATTTGCTCATTGTTTGCTGTGCTCTTTTTTTCAGGTTGCTATTTCTGCAGATGTCAAAGAAGTTCTGTTAACTGATGGAAATGAAAAGGCCATCAAAAGTATCCTTATTCAGATAGAAAACTGGTTTGTTGTGCTCGTTCCTTTTTACTGGCTGAGTAACAATCGATATAAAGACAGACAGCATGGGGTATATTAAGAAAAAGTCCCCACATAAGTAATTAAAAAATAGATGCAGAATATCTTGAACAGAGCTACAGCTTCCCCTGCAAAAAATGCCACATTTTCTTCTTTAATTAAAAATGTATGTGTTGGTATAGAGCAAGTACAGTAGTAAATATTTGTCTTATGGTTGAGTGCTGAAAGATTCCTTGTGTGCCTGCTGCACGTTACAGGAGGTGTAGCAGTGGATCAAATCATTAGCTTCCCTTCACATATTCGTTTTGCAGAAGAACCAGATTTTTATTTTTACTTTCAGATAGTGGCCTTTTAAAACATAGCCAGTATTTGTATATCATTATAGCTTTTCCGGTGTATATTGAAATGCGTGGTTTCATTGTTGCTGTTAAGTTGTAGCTGCCTACAAATTGCCCATTTAGTGTGCTTAATCAATTATCAATTTGTCATTGTTTCTCTTGATGTAAGATTGCAAAACTCCTCTGTGCTTTGTAGAAAGAATTTTATTATATTTCTTATATTAGAATAAATTGCTATTATGCCCTACTAATATGAAAACATAGTTCAGAAAATTGAACTGGACTTTGGCTAAGCGAGAGAATGAGTGAGCATAATTTGTGGCCACATTAAATATCAGCACAGAACAAGAACAGATATATACAGTGAATGCTAATAGCCCTTAGAAATTGAGAGGAAAAAAAGGAAGATATCTATTTGCTTTTGTTCCTTGGTAATCTTTCCATTTGCATTTTAAGGCAGACTAGTTTTTCAGGTTTTGGCCACTGCATCAACAGAATTATTTAGAATTGAGTTTTGTATATATTTGAGAGCTAACATAATGAGTACTTAGTGGGGAAAAAAAAAAAAAAAGGTTAAACTGATTTGTAGTTTAAAAAAAACTGCAGTTGCTGATGACTGTTGAAACAGGAAACACTGCAGTGCAATAACATTAGCTACTACCTTTAAAAAGACTTTCTCAGAGGTAACTGAGGTAACTGGAATTGCTTACTACACTTTAACAATTTCATGGAATAAACAGCCAATCCTAGATCGTATATTTTTAAACTTGAAGGAAACCTTATAAAAGTCTTCTTTTTCTTGAAAATGTAAGTTCTCGGTTGTGTCCCAGGGATTTTTATTTTGTTAATTTCTACTTTGTTATACTCATGTCTTGAGGAGGAAGTATTCATTATTCTGTGTATTTTAATCAGCACCACCCCTTCCAATCTTCCATCTATGTCATTATGAAAACAAAAAATGTGGGAGAAAAAAACTGTTTCAGAACTAGCCTAACAAAACAAACTGATGTTTTAGAGAAGCAGAGGTACTGAACAAAAGGTCATTTTACCCACAGAAAGCTTCAGGTGAGCTCAGTAATCATCAAGTTAGCAAATATCTGGCACAGCAGATTCTGTAAACATACCCAAACTTTTTTGAAATTTAGAAGTCTTCTAAAGCAAGGAAAATTGGCAAGTGCTAAAAATATTCACTCAGTCTTTGGAATTAAACAAAGTAAAGTGTTTTTATTCCTGAAAAAGATACTGTTAATGTCATCTAATTAGAACACCTTAGTTTTCCGCTATATGTTTTAGAAATATATTTTTTTTTTTTTTTTTTTTCCCCAAAAGTCTTACAAGAAGTCTTCATCTGTATTCACTCAGTGAATCCCTTTCACTGAGAAGCGATTGGTGGAAGGCTCTAACAGGAATTTATTTTTTCTTTTTTAACATTTGGTGCTCTGAAGGCTCAGCATTCAAAGTGCTTTTATTGTGTTGGATTTTACAATGGGCTTAATATTAGCAGGGTGCCAAAGTGCAGCAGACTAAGAACTTTACAGTGTAGGTGGAATGTATTCTTAAAAGTGCACATAATAAAATTTATGTTGCATTTTATGTGTTTTATGGACTTCAGTAGTAATTTTATGATCTGTCTTACGGTACTTTTCTTTTGCATTCTTTTCTATAGTGGCTAGCTATAGCAGAATTTTAGGCTAAATTTAGATCTGTTTCAGCCACACCAGACTCACTGAAATCAGTAAGAATTTTTAATGTAATTGGAAATAGTATTTGGCCCCAAGTGCCACACACTACAAATGATGTATTTCTGTAAATTTTTATTATTGCTGATGGTATTTTTTAATTGTTTATCATACAAAATTAAATTAATGTGGGATAAAATACTGTTTTCTTTTCTATATTCTGTTTTTCAGGACTAGTTAATGTCTAGTATTATGCTTTATATGTAGATATTATAGATTAAAATAATCTTGTTTAAAAATTACTGTTTACATCTTCCCTTTAAATTTCTTAGGAGGCCTAAATTACATGCCAGTCATACTATAATATCCAAAAATTACTTTCCAAAAAGTAAAAGTGGTTGTCAACAAAAAAGAAAAAAAATCACTGCCAGAAGCCAGGAAATCACCAAGCAAGCCTGCTAATTATTCTTAATGGGCAAGATGAGCACATTAAGAAACAAATGAATACATCAGTGAAATGTAATTGAAAATCGACCTGGCAATAGTGCATTGCATCTGAGAATCTGCCTTTGTATCATCATCATCATCATAATTATTGTTGTTTTTGTTGTTGTTATCGCTATTCAGTGAGCGTAACTAACAGCTTTGCTTTGTGAAGTCTCAGGCTTTTGAGGATTTGATTTTTCTTTTAATTTTTGACATTCTTCATATTATTCTCCATTTCATACTGCCACATGAAGTATTCGCTATGTATGTTTTCAATATCTATATTAAGATATGTTATTGAAATGTAACAAGCTAATTTGCAAATATGTTAATTTTAAATTATTGTTGTCATTTTAACCATTTAACTGTGAAATATATAGCTATATTTTATATTAATCAGTGGACTTATGCATGAGGTTTATGGAAGTGTTTAAAACAACATTATGATTGGAGTTACCAGTCCAATTTTAAAGACTTCACTCTAACTTAACTCCTTTTGCTTATCATGGGTAGATTTTAATTGATTAACAGATCATTTATATTGCAAAATCAATAAAATAAAGACAGATATTATTGCTTTTGCAGCTTTGTTCAAAACTTTATTGTTGGTTTAGTGTGTTTTATTTAAGTTCTTTTAGGATATTTAATTAAAGTTTTAAAAAGAAAATTATGGATATTTCGAGCGAATAATTAAGATATGCATACGCAGAGTTATCAGATTCATCCCCCTTTATAATTTTGGATTATATGCTTTCAGATACAACTTTTACAACCTAAATCATATCTATGACACAGTCATGAACATCAAATGAGGTTCACTTTTAGTAAAAATTGTCGCCTATTTCAGAGAGGCTGTGTATCTGCTACCTTAGCTCTGTTTCAGACCATGCACTAGTGATTTGAACTACTGTCTGCAAGCATCAATAATACAAAACATTGTTGCAGTGCACTATAATGGCCATTAAAATATAGTGTGTATGGATCTTTCAACAGTCCTGGGAAATTTAGGTTAGAAAGGTCATGTTCAGCCTGAATGCCTGAAGACATGGGCTCATAAATTATTTAAAAAAGCTACCGTTAACATGTTTACAACAATTATTAATAGTTTTTCTCAAACGATTTAAGTGCAGGGTAGCTAATTTATCAACAATGTTACTTCTGCCTCTACTTAAAATTGGCATGCTTTGCTCATGGAATTAATTCTGCCTGCCTTTTGCTTCACAGGTATAGACCATTCATTACTACTTCTCATTGCGTATTGTAGAAAAGATTAAAAAGATGCTTCCAAACTACAGAGATTTGTTTAAACCAGTTTTCTGTCACTCCATTTCTAGCGTTTGTCTTCACAAAATATCAGTTGTCCTTTCTTTTACATTGTTTGGATAGAGGCTTTCCTAAAATAACTCTTCTTAAATAGCCAACTAAGTTAGGAAGACCAATTACTTGATTTCAGCAAAGCAAATAAAAAGATGCATCAGTGATATTTTAAATTAGACTGACACTAGTGTTAAATTTTCTTATAAGAGCATTTGTAAAGAATTCAACATATTTTGTGCACCTGGGAACATCCTCCTAACTAGCATCAGATTTCCTGTATCTTAAGTAGGAAAGGGGAGTCATTGACATCTTTACCAAAATTGTCTCTTTAAGATAATTTTTTATACTTGAGAGTGAATTGTTCAAATATGTGTGGGTTCACACTGGGTGACATTTACTATTCTTATAGTTTCGGTTAATTGCTACACCTTTTCCTTCCAACAGCTTCTCACTAACCACAAATGATTGATTTATGAGGATTATCTTTCTAGGCATAGATGACTGGGCACAGTTTCGCTTGAAACTTTTCATGACATCCCGGGCTTTGGCCTGCCTGAATGGCTGCCCAAATTTGTGGCCTGATCTTCCAAACTGAAAGAAGCTGAGAGATGAGGCTAAAGCATTGAGACGCGAGGCTTGGGGCACTGTTGCGGTGCTTATGGGGAAGAAAAGGTATTTATTGCCTTGTACTATCTTTTATGGTGGTTCCAAGCCATTCTCAAGAAAGCAAATGGACTAGAAACTCCCTTGGCTGTAGGTAAAGGAGCTCCACTGAATGCTGGATTTCACCCAGAAGGAGCTAGGAACAAAGGTATTTGTCTTGTGGCAGGTACTCAAAACCTGTAAGCCTCCAAAATCTCAGCACTGTGATTTAGTGATACCAGTCAAAAGCAGCACTAACTAAACTGGACGTTAAGTGACTGTGCTAAAAAATTTCTGTGGTTGTAATTCTGTGGTTGTACACTGTGGTTGTAATTCTTGTATTCATAAACAATAGTTGCCTTTAAAAGTAGATAAGGTAAGGAAGTCTTTTTTCAGTTCCCTCTATAGCAATTCCTTAAATGAAACGGTAAATATAGGTAGGCAGTAAGAGCAAGTTGCTGCATAGATAGATATATGGCTGACATGCTGGAGTAGCAATGTAAACTTTAGGCTTCTGGAAAAAGACTGAGTCAGCACAGGTTAAAGAATATCAAACAGATAAAAGACATTATGAAGGTATTAGCAATGGAAAAATATTTTTTATTATTTTTGTTACTGCACTAGTTTTGTGACTAATTCTTAACAAATACACTACAGATGTAAGTGAGATCATCAGAAGAAACCAAGATGCAGGAGTATTTAAGGCTCAGAAAGTGTCAAGCTGGTAAGATTCCACTAAACTGTCTTACTGATTCTTGCATGTAATTGTGTATGTAATGTAAATGTGAAATGTATGTGAAAGTGTGACCTATATTACTGACGCCGACACAGATGTATATATAATATAGGTATGTAAATGACGCAAGACAGAAATTTGGAAGTATTTTAAAAAAATTTTAATTGCTTTCTAACTTAGCAAATGCCATGTGATTAATCTTGGCGACAGAACCTCTCCTTTTTATTTTTTTTAACATATACTGTCTGTTGAAGCTGCAGTTTATTGCATGGTTGAAATTTGACTGCTTCAGAGCCAACGTTACCGGTTGTACTGAATATGAGGCTTGGAATGAATGTACTTAAATCACTGGCAGGTTTAATTGTAAATAGCTCTGAGAATTCAAGGTGGCAACAAAGCCCATTTGCCTGAAGTAGGTGTCGGAGCATCCAGGGGAGGTTTTTTGGTCATCCTGTCTGTGCAGTCAGGGTGGTGGTGTCACTGCAAGGACAGATGGGGAGCATGGACGCCAGGCACAGTGTGCTGGGGCCCTTCTCTCATTGACTGTGTCCTAATGTGCAGGGCGACCCCACCACTTCTCTCATAGTGCATCAGCTCTGTTGTCTCCGATGGCGTGCTCTGGAGGGTGAGCATTGTCGGGGTTCAGAGAATTTGGTTTCAGGTCATCTTCAGAGCCCTTACTGACCCACCCTGTAATAGGTGGTGCCACTGAGGTTACCTGTTTATCTATTTCGTTGAGGCATCTCCAGGTACACTGGGGGACTGGAAGCAGCTGAAAAATTGATGTCTATCTCTAGTTGTTATTTTAAAAGTAAATTGTAAAGTACTTTACATTCGTGGTGTAGGGTTAAGAATTAGAATGTGCTCTAGAGATGGCTGCCTAAGAGCAAATAGAGCACTCTTATTTGTAGGTCTAAATCTTCTTTTTCTTTTTGATGATTCTCATTCCAGAAGGGCTCTTAGTCCTTCTCAAAGTGACAAAACAGGCTGAGAAAGGCAAGCTGTTACAGCAGAATAAGCTTATGAACATAGAGGGTTAAACCCATACGATTTTTATGGCTATCGTTCACATCATTTATCCCTATGCTTATGTAGCCATTCTGTGCAGAGAAGTTCTTTTAAGTGAGCACTTAGGGTTAGAAAAATTCTGTCTTCATTAGGATGTGCATGCATATAACTTAGAGATATATCTCTGGATCCTAATAAGTGCCTGCCACATAAACAAAGACCACATGGGCCCCAGGAATGGTCTTTCAGGTTCCATGTGCCGAACGCTTCTTGTGAGCAGGCTGAGACACTCAGCCCTGCTGAGGAGAGGCTGTGTAGTACATCCATCCAAGAGCTTAGACTTTGTAGATTTCCAATTGCTATCTACTTTGTATGAGATTTCAGATTTCATCCCTTGTCAGGACTTCAAACCTGGTCTTTTAGATATCAATCAAAAGCGCATTTTCTACCATGTCCTCATTTACATTTATCTAATGCTTAAGGTCATTTGTGATCATTTGAGTGTATTTCAGCATATGGAATCAGTGAATAATAGATTTCAGCCTCATGCTGTGAAGAAAGATTGTGTTTTTACAAGACATGATGTTGTTTACTGAGTGTTAATAATCACTAATTAATAAACATATCTAGACGTCATAAAAAGTTGCTTTTTAAGGAGTAAAAATGTCAAGTGTTTAACTTCTTGAGTGCAATAGCATTTGGGGCCTTATTTGCATAAATAAAAGAATGAAATTACAAAAAAGTGAAGTATTATATCAAAACAGGAGGCTCATTATAATAAAAACATACTTTGACTTTTAGTTCTATATTCCTAAGACTTTTGCATATTTATTGTAACAGTGTAAAGTTTTATAAACTAAGTATTCAAATTACTCTAATTCCAAAAATAATTATCATCTTGCATTTCTCTATATAATGTACATAAATAATTTATTTCTTCTGTCAAAATTAAGGTTATGCTTTGGTTAGTTATTTGAGAATTGTTAATTGATGGATCAGTCCTTCAGATTCAATAATGACATGCAATGAGGGCAGTAACAAAGTTATTTGATCACTTTTCAAGACCTTGAAGAAACTAAAAGGCTGGTGTAAAATCTGAAATATTACCATAATCCTGATTCACTTTTCCTACAACTGAAAACCTTAGTTTTATAATGACAATGGGAGGGGGAAAAATCCCACAAGAAAATGTAGTGTTTTGTAAGGAAGAATGCAACACTGGCATGCAAAGTGAAATTTGATGGCTTCTTTTGTATTTATCAGAGCTTGCAGGCCAATTAAGATAGTGATGTATTTAAGTGTCTTACTGCAACAATAATTTAATTTGGAGAAGGCATGTTCCTCACTCTAACGTATCATTTAAACAGTGTCCAGTCTTGTAACTTTGCACAGTGTCCAGTGCAAAGTTACAAGATTTTTTCCACAAAAAAAGACAATTCAGAATAGACCCTTTTCACTGCACCTTCATCTCACTTTGGGATCTTGTACTCTTTTCCTTTCACATGGAGTAGAAATTATCAATATGAGAGTCAGTTTGTGACTGTTCCTGACATTTAAGTCTAGACTTGGAAAATATGCCAAAAAATGCATGGTGCAAAAAGGAGCCATCCAGTATTAACCAAGAGAAGTTAGATTAGGACAGGCTGCCATACATTTATTTATTTAGATTTAAACAAAATTCTGTAAATGAGCACTTATCTCTCTGCCAACTCTTGATTATTGTTTAAAAGTACAGCAATGTAAGCCAAACTGGCAGTTTGTCATACTATGTGTTATAATGTAATAATAGATATTCAGTAAACAGTTTACTTCAGCAGCAGATATACAATTCTATGTTTATTTTTAGCTTCCTTGGATATGTTCAGAATTCTTTGCTTATGTTTACTGGAAATAGGTACAGTAATGCCACCAAGTTACTAATAATGACTTGCCATACTAAGGTGAATTATTAATACCGTGTATGAGTTTGATGATTTTTTTTTTTTTTTTTTTTTTTTTTGAAGTTCAAAAATTGTCCGTGAATCACTTTGAAGTTTACCCCATGACTTAGCATATGAGTTATCCTGGTAACTGTCTTTGTACCATCAGCTGTTATTAGTTTGACATGCATCATATTATTGTTTTGAAGATGCTCGGCAATGATTAAATGTGCTATAGCAGTCATGGAATCTCAGGTCTTTTTCTTCTCTTTATTTTAATGTGGAAATCTTTTTGAAGCAGGAGTTTGGTTTGTAGAATTTTGAAAAATTGTTATTACAAATGTCATGTTGGAAAAGCTTTATCTAAGAGGAAGACTTGCAGTATATTCTAAAGGTTAACAGACTGTTTGTCTTATCTGCGAGTAAATTTGTTTTTCCATCAGGTTCCCTTGTCTGAGAAGACCAAATCTGTTAAGAACAAAATTTGTATACTTATTGCTGATACAGAATCTGGGAGTTTTAGGTGTGAACAAGTGTGTTGTTTTGCTAAGAGTTGCCTCAGAGAGATTATATTCCGCATAAGAGCACAACCAAGTATATACAACATTGTCAGTGAGAGAAATGCTTACAGTGCAGTGCAGCCTTTGATTTGATTAGTAATAATATATCAGGTACTTTTTGTTCATTCTGTAGTCAACGTATATGGCCAGGTTACCAAAAGTGACAATTCCTTCTCCTTAAAGGTTAACAAATAAGTTAGAATCTGTTATTTGAGATTTTAGTGTTCCTTACAAATGCAATGAATTTACAAGCTTCAAGAATTAAAACTAAAAAGAAGAAAAGCCTTTCTAAAGACTAAATGGTGTTCGGTATAATAGTAGGATGAGGTCTCAATGACAGAGTACTGAACTATGTAGTCCTGATTCCATTCTTACATTAATTATTTCTTTCTCTGTAACTGCCAACACATGAATATTTTACTTAACTACAGTGTTCCTCAAATATGCTGTCTTTCTAACCTTCCTGATTTCAACTGGTCATGTAACAGGTTCCATCAATGTGGGACAGCTTCAGTAAAGACTCCCACTATGTTTTCATTCTTCAAATTGACATGAATGTTGCTAATTTCAAACTTTTTGAAGGCATACTTATTGAACTTGTTGTGTTTATCAACTTAGCAACCCTAAAGGAATCCCTTTCCTCCAATTACTTTTCCAGTCTCCCCAGTAACACCTTTGCATGCACAGCATCTATTGGCAAGGAGAAAGCTACCAAAAGGAACATTTCCTGCTCCTTGGTTAAAAAGAAAAAGCTCCTGGTTACTGCTGTCTTCATTTGATGACTTTATGTACGTGTGGGAAGAAACAATGAACAGTCTGTCTGTTCATGTTGGTTGTGAATTTGTAGCTCTCTATGACAGAAAACTCAACTCAGGTGGAAACTGTATACTCTGATCATACTTGCCCTTCTCTCTATCTTTTCCAGTTTCAATCTGCTCCTTTTCAGATGAGGGTGAGAGTACTGCATTCAAAGTGTGCGTAAATGATAGATACGCGTAGGGGAATAATTATTCTTTCTGTTCCTCTTCTGAAATCACGTAACAGTGATTTGGTTTTTTGACTGCAGTTGAGCACTGAGCTGATATTTTCTTGACACTGTCTGTCACAACATCAGGGGCTTTTCAGTAATGGTCACTTCAGGGACCTTCCTTTTCTTATGAAGCCAGAATTCTTTTTCCTCTTGTGCTTTTTGCATTTATCTACACTGAATTTAATCTCTCATTTTATTGTCCAATTACTATTTCATCCTTCTACAGTTCTTCAGTCTGCTCTTTTCCTTACTATCTTGAATAACTTCTTAGCATCAGCAAACTTTACTACCTCAGTGCTCATCTCTTGTAAAAATGTTGAATAGAGCACGTCCCAGGGGAACTCTGTTGATTATCTCCATTTACTGCTACCCTGGTCCCTATCTTCTGTTACGTTATTTAGCCATGCCAGGACTCTTCTCCAGTGGCTGTCTACTTTCCTTAAATGTTTTTGGTGAGGGTCTTTGTCAATA